TTTCTTAATAATATTCTATTCAGTTTTTCCTTGCATGTTTATCTTTATATACCATGGTAAAGTCATGATAAGTTATCACTGATCCATTCACCAGTGTGGTTTGGGATGTACATATCTAATAAGCATGTCCTGGAAGCCCTGAAGAATTTCTGAGTGAGTTTATTGGACCCATGGAAGATACTGAGTGTGCACAGGCGAATAAGCATGAGCATATATGAACGGGCATGAAAGAGCCCTGCACGCAGGAGCCTGACTTACTGCCTACAGGACACACAGTCAACATAGGGGTGAATTGCCAGGGGTCCTTTCTTTCAGAGAAAAAAGAAAAAAATTCTTCTCTCATTTGCTTGCCTATCTATACCAGAAGGCCTTTTAGTCCCAAGGGAGGGTGGATTAAGAATTTCCCAGGAGGCAGAGTTCCTGAGGCTCTAGATTTATAACTACCCCAGACACTCTGGAAGGCTCAGTATTGATATAACTGGACGCCATGCTTCACACTCTCTGTAAGTGAGTCTGGGTGGAGGGTGCTGAGGGGTGGCTATTCCCAGATTAGCCAGAGGACTGAACTGTGTTCCTTTCCATTCCTGGGTCAGGACTGCTGAAGTAGTCTGAAAGCGGGTAGTAGAGATTGCATTCTGTCTCAGCTCAGGAGGCGTACGTGAGAGCCTGTACTCTGGGATCTTCTCTCTTTTGCCCTGCTTGGTGCTTGGTGGTGCCAGAAATGCAGAGAAGGTGGAAGCTTGGCCATAGGAGATTACTGGGTGGTAACAGAGCTGAAAAGGGCATGAGCTGGAGACCAGTTAAGAACATTTGGAGTTTCCAACTATGAATATGGAAATATAGGGACTTTAAAACAAAGAATCTGCCTACTAATGCTTGAATTAGAGGATAAGAATTAAATTTAGTTTATATAACTTTAGAAGTTTGGGACAAAGACCACAGCTGGGGGCCGGTGGGAGTCAGGAAGTAGTTCAAAATATTTCTGTTCAGTCTAAAACAATTGCTAAAACTACTTCTGCTGAAAACAGAAAACTATGCCCAGAAGCATAATATAGAGCTACCTATCACTGGATGCACTCAGTAATGTCAAAAATTACACCTGGGAGAGATGTCTCAGTGGCGTGTCTCAGACTTAGGAATTTAGGTGATATCTAAACAACCCTTCCACTTTTTAAAATAGAGGTTCTTTGATACCATGTTATGGGCCTGTCCTCCAGCCTGGGAAAAGGATTAGGTTGTAGGTTTCAGCAACAGTCTTTGACTTTGAACTTCTTTGGCTTCTTCATCCTGTCAGTGGCTGGAACTAGAAACATTAGGTCTCTGGATCCTTGGCTCTAGTGCTGCCATTGGCACATTTTGATGGCAAACCAAGATTGAAAGAGGAGAGGAGAAAAAGAGCAAGTGTGTTCACACATGCTTTACTTCTAGGCCTCAGTAGGTTGTTCTACTGAATGCTTGTTGAAAAAAATGTGATGAAGAACAGGCAGGGACATCCCACAGAAAAAGAGAAGGAAAAAAGGAAGAATTAGTGAGTGAGGGGAAGAGATAAAATAATCCTCCTATGTAATTCTGAGAAATTTCATGCTAGTATAAAACGTATAGTAATTATCCCAAAGCTGTTCAGGAATCAAAATTGTACTTTTTTGCTCTAGGCTTCTCCATGGATCCTCATGCCTGAATTTCCAGATCTTGCATTTGGCTCTACGCTCTAAACATCATTTCGAGATTCTCCCTCCTTCACTTATTTCTTTCTGTGAATGCTTTGTGATCCCTTGTTAGAGATGGTGATATTTGGGGCTGTGATTTTTCAATGTAAAATTTTGCAGAGAGTAGGATCAAAGGATGTAATAAGCAAAGAATAGATGAAAAACAATGAATGAGAAAGGTAGTATTTAAAGGAGATATTAGGAATTTAACAGCCTGAAGTTGTACATACTATGGATACAAGCAAATACAAGTTATTATGGTTGAATCAGTTGTGACAAATTCTTGCCTTAGCTGATCCTTTTATTTTGTGTTCCAAACTTACAAATGAATGTATTCAAGGAGAAAGAGAAAAGAAAAGGCAGAGTTAAATGAACATAATGCCCAGGCCATAGAGAAGGCTGTCCAATCACCACCTCAAGTCTGGCAATCATGTTCTATGGGTTACTATCTTAAGTGCATCCTCCAATTCCAGTGTTCTCACTGTCAATGGACCACTCCGTCAAGGCAAAGTGCAGAACTACTAGACAAGAGAAACTGAGATCGGTGGGTGGCAGGTATGGATTTATGAAAGAGGAAAGTAAATCAGAGCATATGGCTTATGGAAATGATTTTGTAATCTTTATCGAATCCTTAAGGGGTTGTGCCTTAGGACTGGAACCTAGGAAAACAGTAAGAGACACACTAAGAAAGTGGACTAAAGAGGGAATCAGATCTTATGAGCAGGAGTCAGAGTTCCAAAAGGAAGGAAAAGAGATTCCAGAGTGTTGGAAAACTGCACTTAGGATTATGTATATGTGGAGCGTGGGATTGAGGGAGAAAAGTCTAAAAACTTATAAGAGGAAAATGTCAAGTAGTATATATCTTTCTAGATAACTATGGCAACACAAGAAACAAGGGTACTCACATTTTCGATGCCTTGGACCTGAAGAAATCATTGTATCTTTTATTTGTTTCACGTTTGAACCCTACAAGTTAAGCTATCATAAAGATGTGGAAAACCACTGAATTTTAATTTTCCTATGTGAAAGATAAACTGTTAAAATAGTCAATTTACCCTGCTGACTTCAGAGTATTTTAAATCACAAATGAAGCAGTATGTTTAAATTTCATTTTGAACCTGCCAAAATGATTACTAATATACACAATTATCACCAAGAGAAAAACAATTAGAAGATTAACTCAGTTTCTTCTGCATATCAGGTGGGAGAGCCATGCCTGGCAGACTGGATGTGGAATGAGAGGACCTGGAGGGGTGAAGAGAGAAGCCCTGGGAGGGAATGAATGTCTTCATCTCTCCACTGACACAGCCACAGTTGCCATCAGGGTCTTTCTGGTGAGGAGAGTCTGAAAGGAGCCAGCTGAGCAAGGATAGGAAGTGCATGTGGAGAACAGGAAAGACATAACTAAAACCCAAAATACTATTTGAACATCTTCAGAAGTGTATGTTCCTGCCAGTATGAAAATAATGTACAGTTCTGGGTTCAGCTTTATTACCACTTTATTACAGCTTCCTTTCTTGCCACCTTCCCTTCACCCCCAAACTCTTGCTCATCTAACAGATTCAATTTTAAAAAAACATTTAGTGCGTTATGGGTGAAGTTTGTTAGGTGGGGCATATCATGGAATTATTTATTAGGTCTGTAAAACTCTAGAAATTAATCCAAGCCAACCTTCTGTATTTGTAGGAATATTATTAAGATAGTACATTATGAGTTGTTGAGATTCTGGGTTTTGAGATATCAGTTCTCTCGTTTGTTAGTGGTGATAATCATACACATTTCACAGTTGAATAACATGAAATAAAGCCTTAGAATATTTGAGTACAGTTCCTAGCAAATACTAAGGGTTCCAAACATAGGTAGAAAATTATGTTATTTGGGGGAACCTAAAGAGGAAGAAACAGGGCAGTTCTTAAACATTTGATGAAAAACATTTTCTAAACCAATAAAATAACTCCTTAACACAGACTTCTGTCCTGGTAAACAGATTTCTGTACAATAGACTGTATGATTTAAAGGACCCCAGAAAGACATGACCTATACCTTTTGCCAAAGCTGTACCATTGTTTGGGTTTTCTTTCATAAGTCACAGGAAGGGGAATCTTAGAATTCTTTACTTTTCAAGTAAATGAGGATACCATATCGCTTAATTTACAATTCTTTTTCACCAATCTATCCCGCATGTCAGAGGTAGCCAACTCTTCTCTACACTTTAGTAATAATTTGTGTATAACCCTGTTATTATTCATGTATCATTTGTTCTTATTATTACTCATCTGCCAGAGAGGTTATATTTTTATTTCTTTGACGTAACGACATTTCTTTTTTCAATTCTGTGACCCTATTACCTAAAAGAGTGCCAGGGGAAATGGTTAAATGATAAGAGAATAATGGCAACATTAAACTATTATCTGTACGGTGGTATATGTATACCTGGTTCATTATATTGAACCTGAAAAATAAAAATGGAATGGGAATTAAAAATCTTTAAGAATGAACTTCATTATTCCCACACTATTACAATCAGAGGAACCAACTTATCATCTAGCTTAATGACAATTGTTGCTCCCTCATAGCTATTTGGAATTGCTCATGCTCCTTTTAAGGCTGTTTCTTCCAGAAGTTGGGAATCCTACAAAGACCTAACTAATAAATAGAAGTAAAGCAATTATTTGGTAGGTTTCATACCAACCAAAAAAATGAATATTTAGATAAAATGGATATTAACATTATTTTCAGTGTATAAGTAAATATATTTAATTAAGCAAAAAATCAATATAGTTAAAAGGTCATAATAAAAATCTGAGACTTTTTATCTGAGTCTTTCCATTGTGCCAGGCTTTGCTAGTTATTTAGGAGTAGTACAATAGTTAAACTGTAGATATGATAGTCTATGTAATCATTAAAGAGAAAATAAAGAAGAAATTTATGGATACAAATCAAGAGTCTCACCTGTTACACAGAAGTTTTTTTCTGATTAGTGTCTCCTTTTTAGTTTCTGCAAAGACATATCAATCAATTCTCTACAAAATAAAATGAAACAAATCAAACGCAGATAGATAAATCATATTACCTCACTCCTCTATACTATCTAAAGTGATAGGAAAACCTCAGTAACATAGCACTGAGGATAAACACATGAATTCATTTGGCTCCAGATAACCTGCTAGGATCCACAACTTGTACCTAGGAAAACATTTTTTTTTTACCCTCCTGGATATAGAGTCGGCAACTAATTTTTGATCCTAATTTTACAGGACACTGAAAAAATGTTGTAGAAATATATGGCAAAAAATGAGAACATACCAAAATGGCACCATCTCCATCGAGGTTTCAAATTTCCTCCTGAACTGTTTTGTCAGATCCCCCATTTGGCAGCGCTGGCTGTCCCTGCCCCTCAGCCTCCTCTTCCTCCTGGCCATGGGGGCCAACGCCACCCTCCTGCTGACCATCAGGCTGGAGGCCGCTCTGCACCAGCCCATGTACTACCTGCTCAGCCTCCTCTCCCTGCTGGACATTGTGCTCTGCCTCACCGTCATCCCCAAGGTCCTGGCCATCTTCTGGTTTGACCTCAGACCCATCAGTTTTTCTGCTTGCTTCCTCCAGATGTACATCATGAATTGCTTCCAAGCCATGGAGTCCTGCACATTCATGGTCATGGCCTATGATCGTTATATAGCCATCTGCCACCCACTGAGATACCCAGCCATCATCACTGACCAGTTTGTAGTCAAAGCTGCCATCTTTATTTTGGCTAGGAATGTCTTCATGACTATGCCCATTCCCATTCTTTCAGCATGGCTTTATTACTGTAGGACAAATGTCATTGAGAACTGCATCTGTGCCAATATGTCCGTCTCCAGGCTCTCCTGTGATGATGTCACTGTCAATCGCCTTTACCAATTTGCTGGTGGCTGGACTCTGCTAGGATCTGACCTCATCCTCATCTTCCTCTCCTACACCTTCATACTACGAGCTGTGCTGAGACTCAAGGCAGAAGGTGCTGTGGCCAAGGCCCTAAGCACATGTGGCTCCCACTTCATCCTTATCCTCTTCTTTAGCACCATCCTTCTGGTCTTCGTCCTTACACATGTGGCTAAGGAGAAGGTCTCCCCTGATGTACCAGTCTTGCTCAATGTCCTCCACCATGTCATCCCTGCAGCCCTTAACCCAATTGTTTATGGGGTGAGAACCCAGGAGATCAAGCAAGGAATCCAGAGGTTGCTGAAGAAAGGGTGGTAGTAAGGTCAACCGAATCTCTGAATTTCTAAAATTGGATGACTTTTGAATCATTAATGACTGAGTGGGTTGAAACTCCTACCTATGAGTTATAATCTCATACTGGTAAACTAGATATTGCATATTATTTTCTAAAACTTCAATTTTATTTTAATTTTCCCTTTCTTTCATCCTTCCATCAAGAATATCCTTGGCCCTTTCCCCCTTTTTCCAATGTTTACAATCTTATTTTGTCTAAAACAGTGACATGCCTTGAAGCATGTTCTAAAGTGAGAAATTTATGTTCCTAAGTGTACAACTGTTAACATGCCATGAAGTGTATATTCCTAAAAATACAACTGCAGGTATTTTGTGGCTTATGTTGTGTGCAATGTATTCTTATCTTCAGTTTCACAGAAGGGAATGAAAAAAAGACACAGCAGTTGAAATTTCACTGCTGAGTGATGGAGGGTTGCTACAGTTCTTTCATTAGGTCTTTTTCTCTCACCTTTCAACCACATCATTGCATTTCTCTGTCTTCCTGTCTCTGTGTCTTTCTCTTCTCTTTTCCTCTATCAGACAATGTAAAATTTTGTAATTGCACTGCAAGAGGGAGGGGTTTCTGCCTTGATTGCTTACACCTGTGACAATTATCAATGTGTTTTCTTAGATATAAGACAGTCCTAAATCCTCTTCCTCATTATATCTTTGCTTAGGACACTTATTTTTGCATGCAGGATATCATATATGGTATGCAAACATGCTCTGCTAATGAGTCTACAGATTTTTAGGACTATAATATATAATTCAGTAATAGTATTGACATATAAAATAGCCTAGCTGAACAATATTTTCTCATTAATTGTATTACTTTCTAAGCACACCTTGTGTCCTGTGAATTCTGTTAAATATTAAAACAAAAATGAATAGACCATTGTGGCTGCTTTAAAGAGCTCAAATTTTGGTTGGAAAGAATGCAAATATAATTTCCAGAAACATATTCTTCTCAATTAGAGAGCAATGAGGATTGAAAAAGGTACATATATGGGAAGTAAGATACTTGGCAACCTAAGAAATCACTGGAAAGAGAGGTAGAAGTTCTGGGTAGTAGGTCTTGTGAAATCACACACAGGAAAAAGTTGGGTTCCTGCCTGGGAAGAAGTCTTTTATGTTTCTCATCTATTACTTGAGAATAGTGAACAATTTGTTTTAGAATATGCTTTCTGGATAAAATATATTGTGCTTCAATAACAACTTATAATATGTATTACTGTTTTTGACCATGAAATAAAAGTGTCAAAATAGTCCAACACAAACACTGTCCCCAAAGTCTTGCTCTTTCAAGTTTAAGTGAAAGCACATGGGATTAAACCTTGGCCTACTCAAGCTTACATTCTGTAAAACTCTGTGTACTTATTTTACTTCATACTGCAGTAAAAAACAATAAATTAGTACTCAATTTCTTAGCCCCTGGAAATCCTATGAGCTACCAATAGAAATATAAGTATTCACTAATATATAGAAAGCAATTATTACGCCAGGCCCAATGGTTCATGCCTATAGTCCCAACACTTTGTGGGACAAAGCAGGAGGATTGCTTGAAGTCAAGAGTTTGAAACCAACCTGTGCAACAGAGTGAGAGACTGTCTCTAAAAATGAATAAATAAATAAAATTAAAAGCATATAATCTATAATGAAAATTTTAGTTAAGAATTTCTCCATAGTGAAAAGCATTCTCTTAAGGTCCAACAATGTCACCTCTTTCTTTATGACTCAAAGATGAACTCCCTACAATCTCATTCTCCAATACATTTCAACATTAGAAAATGGCTGGCCTTTAAATGTGCAGAACTGAATACCAATGGGAGAAGTTTACAAATACAAAGATTTAATATGCTTCTAAGGTAAATTTAAGCTGTCACTTCTTGGGAAATATTAAAGACCTTAAGTTTTAACAATATGCTATATTGACATCCATTCATCAAGGGACCAAAACTTTGGTTGGTAATCTTTTCCAAGATTGCATTGTTTATATAAGAAATCCAGGTATATACAATAAGCTGTTAGAAAATAACCTTGGATGGAAGAAAAAGGATACCTAGGGGAATTTAGAGTACCTACCACTCAAGGACTGAGAAAATTTACCATAAGACTTGTCTTCCAAAATATCAGGGTAAAATGTTTATACTTAGAAAAATGTGTGCTCGAAAACTGTTTGCTTGTTTTATATGTAACTTTTATTGCCCATATCAAAGTAATATAGACATATATTTATTTGAATAAAAAGATAACAGATTAACAATGTTTTTTATTTCACTAGAACAGTTGATATTAGTGAGAATTTCCTCCAGAACAGTGCTATTTACTGTGTGCCACATATTTAATTTTAAATTGTTTAGTAGACATATTGAAAGAGTAGGAATGAGTGAAATCAATTTTGACAATATATTTCACTAATTCAGTATATCCAAAATAGTATCATTATAATACATAATACATGTAAAAGGGTCATGAATAAGATAATGTACATTTGATTTTTTTGTAATAAGTCTTTGAAATACACTGTGTAATTTATGCTTAAAGCTTATTGCAACTCAAACTACACACATTCCAAGTGCTCAATAGCCACATGTAGCTAGTAGCTACTGCATTAATCACTGCAGCTCTAGACATTGTGTTTTAAGAGACAGATATGGTCAGGAAATGACATTAACTGGAAAAAAAGATATCCTTCTTGTAATGAAGATTATATTCACAATATAACACAGTTAATTTATATTATTATTTTTGGGTTAATTTTTCTTTTATATATGCTTTTCCATGGAAGTTACAGTTTTAGAGGATAAATGAATCCTTTTTTTTCCCTTTTCCTTGCATTTTTTTTTTAAATTTGAAAATGTTATGGGGATAAAAACATTTTGGTTGCATGTAATGCCTTTGCCTCGACAAAGCCAGGGCTACAAGTGTGCCCTTCCCGCATAGAGTGTGCTCTGCCTCCATTAGTTGTGAATTTACAGCCCTCCCTACCTCCCGCCCCCGCCGTGACTGGCACCCAGTGAATACTACTACCATGTGAGCACATTAGTGTTGATGAGTTAGTATTAATTTGATGACAAGTACATGTGTGCATATTTTTCCATTCTTGTGCTACCTCACTAAGACCCCAAATGCAAATATAATGAAAGCAAAAATAAACATTTTCTTCTGGAATTCTTATAGTTTCATGCCTTACACATAAGTTCTTTATCGATCTTGAGTTTGACTGTTTTAGATTTCACATATATGTGAATATATGCATTATTTGTCTTTCTGTGCCTGGCTTATTTAACTTAGTACAATATTTTTAAAAATTCTATTCTTGTTATTGCAGTCGGGTAATGTGATTCTTCCAGCTGTTTCTTTTTGCTCAGGATGGATGGTTTGGCTATTCTGTGGTTCCATATAAATTTTAGGATTATTTTTTCTATTTATGTAAAGAATGTCATTGATATTTTAATAGAGATTGCATTGAATCTGTAGATTGCTTGGGTAGTATGGACATTTTAACAATGTTGACTCTTTCCATCCATGAACATGGCATCTTTCCATTTTTGTGTGTTCTCTTCAATTTCTTTCATCAATGTTTTATAGTTTCATTGTAGAGATCTTTCACTTCTTTGGTTAAGTTTATTCCTAGGTATTTTATTTTACTCATAGCTATTGTATATATGATTAGAAATTCAAAGAATCATTAGAGATGATTATGAGCAACTATATGCCAATAAATTGGAAAACCTAAAAGAAATGAATAAATTCCTGTATACAAACATCCTACCAAGATTGAACTATGAAGAACTATGAAACTTGAATAGACCAATAATAAATAATGAGATAGAAGCAATAATAAGAAGTTTCCCATCAAAGGAAAGCCTAGAGCCTGATGACTTCACTGGTGAAATCTACCAATTATTTAAAGACCTAATACTAATCCTATTCAAACTATTCTAAAATATCTAGGAGGAGAGAATACTTCCAAACTCATTCTATGAGGCCAGTATAACCCCTATACCATTTGTTCTGCATTTTTAAAAAATAGAATATATCATCATTAACGATAGTCACCAAGTTATACAATACATCTCTTGAACTTATTCCTCCTATATAACTGTAAATATGTATTCTTTGACAAATATCTACCCATAGTGGTTTCTTATGATTCTTTCTATTTCTATGGTATCAGTGATAATGTCTTCTCTTTATATAATATTTTACTTACTTGAATCTTCTCTTATTTTTCACAGTCTAGTTAAAGATTTCTCAATTTTGTCTTTGAAAATCTCAGTTTCATTGATTTTTTATATTGTTTTTCTAGTCTCAACAAAAAGAACACTATAGGCAAATATCTTTGATAAACATAGATGCAAAAATTCTCAGCAAAATACTAGCAAACTAAATTCTACAACACATTGAAAAAATCATTTGTCATGATCAAGTGAAATTCATGCCAGAGATGCAAGGATGTTTCAACATACACAAATCAACAAATGTGATACATCCTATCAACAAATGAAGGGAAACGATATGATCATTTCTTTATAGAGGAAGACATAAGACATCTCCACAGGAATGCCTTGGGTTCTGAGGATCACCTGGGTTAGTGTACTGAGGAAGTGAGTAAAAACTGAGAAAATGGAGTTTCTATGGAAGAAAAGAAGAAAATTGGAGCAGGAAAAAGGAGAATGAAAAAGGACTTAAGAGACAGAGGTTATGATGGAAATCTTAGCAATTCAGATAGCCTCTGTCTACCTAACTAGTCACATTTTTTGTTTCTCTTTCTTTTTTACCTTTAAACATACGAAAATGTTTATGGGCCCAAACTTTCCATTCTTTGTTTAGACTTAATATTTTGCTTATATTGTTCATTTTTTCCCCAGATAATTCTCATCTTCTCTTTCTTGTAAAATACTCATACATATAATTCAAGATTCACCTCATATATACTACTTTTCCTATAAAGTCCTTACTTACTAGCTCTAATAGATATCAATGATCATTCTCTCAGTTTTCATGAGTTTTGTAATAATCTCTGAAGTACAATTTCCTTGTTATCATTTTATAGTAATCATTTCATTGCATTTTATATCCTCTACTAGGCTGGGATTCACTAGCATTTTTGTATTCATTTATATTTCTTTGTGTATAACATATAGCCAGGCAGATAGAGGGTACCCAGAAAAACTTGTTGGCTGATATTGACAACATGTTTAAATGAAAGCTTATGCATACAAAACTGATATTTTATTACCTATACAACTGGAAAGATTTCTCATTAAACTGTAATGCTCATAATGACATCAGAGTTGAAACTAATAGCTCATAAAAATAATATCACATACAATTTATTAAATGGTTAACATATATCAGAAATTAAACTACATGACTTTTTAGGATTACAACATTTAATCAACCCAATACATCTTTGTTGTAAGTTTTCTTTTCCACATTTGAAAAAAAAATATGAAAGAAAAGATTTAGAGAGATTATGTAGCCTGTCTAAATCTAGTGGCTAGAAATTAAAAGATAGAGTATTAAAATCTTGGGAATAACTGAATCTAAAACTCACATTATATTTTCCCCAACTCTTTCCTACTAATTTTTTGCTTCCTCCACCTGCATCCATTTTTTATTATCTCTTCTCTTCCTCTCATGTGTGTTTCTTGTCATTTATCCCTGACCAGAGTCTAGATTCTGAGTATCCTGAGGCCAGAAAGTATATTGTATTCGACTCTGCCTTTTTCTCATTAAATATAAGGTATGACTAACCATATTACTTAAATTAGTGTCTCAAAAAACTAATGACTGACTGAAGGAATAAATTATAATATATATTAAGAACTTAATGTTTTGCCTGCTCTGTTGATAACATGACAATTAGATTTTTTAGATCCATTTTAAACAGAGGTCCCAAAATGATAACATGGTTAAAACAGAACTCTTAGACATTCTTGAATAAAGTATAGAGTAATTTAAAGGATACTTAGTGAAAAATTAAAATTTGGAAATTTCATAAAACATACAAATCTAGTTGGTGTTAAAAATACTGGAAAGTATTATCATACAACACTGGGCCCATGTTACCCCATGGCAATGATGTGCTTGATCTGAGTGCAATTCTTCCTTTATGGAGAGGACATGCTTGTTCCATGTTGCTGTAACATTTTCTTCTTACACACAATGCATAGATTGTCACCAGGCCTACAGTCCTCATTTTATTACCTTACTGTTCTCACTAGACATATGAATATGTAAACCCTATAGAAAACATAAGGTTTTAAAAGAATTGGCATGCCATTTGTTTATTTTGTTTGCTCTACTTTGGCATATCTTTGCCCACAACAAAAACATTTCATAATATGTATTTGCAAAGACTTCAGAAAATGCATCTATTAGAGTGACTCAAGTTTGTAATGCCATTTCACTCACAGCTTTTATAAATTTCTTCCTCACTATTTTCTCCCCACTCAAATGATATATCTATTTTATTATTCATTAATCTTAGGTAAAGCCAACCTTGTCTCCAAGTAAAAATTTGATTACACTTTCCCGAATCTGCTTAGTCTTGACTCCATAAACAATTGGGTTCATGGTAGGAGGCAGTAGCAGATACAGGTTAGCCACAATGATATGTATGTGGTGGGGGATATTGTGTCCTCCAAAACGATGAGTGAAAAAAGTGAAAAAAGCAGGGACATAGGTGATCACAATGGCACAGATATGAGATGTACAGGTGCTGAAGGCTTTGTGACGAGCATCTGCTGATGACAAACTCACCACAGCCCTCAAGATCATAGTGTAAGATACAGAGATACAACACATGTCAAACACACCAATCAAGAGAGCAACCATTAGACCATAAATAGCATTGACTTTGAAATTGCCACAGGATACCTTGGCCACAGACATGTGGTCACAGTAGGTGTGGGAGATCAAGTTTCCCCGGCAATAGGGCAGGCGCTTGGTAAGGAAAGTGAATGGGATGATGAGCATCACACTCCTCAAGAAGGTGGCAAGACCAGCCTTGGTGATGACAGGGTTGGTGAGGATGGTGGCATAGCGTAAGGGGTAGCAGATGGCCACGTAGCGGTCCAGGGCCATGAGCATGAGCACCCCAGACTCCACACCAGTCAACATATGGACAAAAAACATCTGGGCCAAGCAGGCATTAAAGTCAATCTCCTTGAGGTTGAACCAGAATAGGCACAGCATATTGGGTACAGTGGTGGTGCACAAGGTGACGTCAGTGAAGGACAGCAAGGCCAAGAAGTAGTACATGGGCCGGTGCAGGGCCTCCTCATGGCTGATGAGGTAGATGAGGCCACAGTTTCCCAGGACAGCAATGATGTACATGAAGCAGAATGGCAGGGAGATCCAGATGTGTATGGCTTCCAGTCCAGGAACACCATTCAAGATAAAGAATCCCGGGGTCAGACTGGAGCTGTTGGCCCCGGACATAATGGCTGACAGGAGGAGGGCATTTTATACTCTTTAACAGTGACAGTTTCCTAGAGCAGAAATTAAATCAAAAGTGAGTAGAGGGCTTGGAAACCAAACGCAAAAAATAGTGACTTCTATGAGGCCCTTGAAATGAGAAGTGGTGATTAAATTACTTTGGAGTCACACTGTCTAGCTTCGTATTCCATCTGTAGTTTTCATCTAGCGTATGATATTGGCAAGTTGTTTAACCACTTTATACCTCAGTTTTCTCAGTGTAAAATAAGATAATTGCACCAAGCTCAGAAAGTTGTCAAGATTTTTCAATAAGATAATTTATGTAATGTTCTGAAACTTTGCATTATATATCCTTAGCAGCAATCACCACTGACTACTATTATTATCATTTTCTATCTCAGTATATAGTATTTCAGGAAATCAAACTTGCCATAATTAATATATGTAAATTCAAATGGAGCTGCTCACCCTTGCTCCATCTCAAGTCCCAGTGTGTACTTCTGGGTGGAAGATAGTATGGGATGTTGAAAACTTCAACCATTCTGGGAGATGGTGAAGTAAACTTTAGAAAGTAAATTCTAGTTTCAAGATATTAAAATACGTTCTCATGTTTTGTACAGAAAAAATATATAAATTTCTCTTAAATTTGGAATGAAATCCAGCGAAATATTTTCCTACTAAATCCCCACAAGGCTGCTAACTCTAGGTAACTGAGCAAGTGGCCACTGGAACTTCTCTATAAAGAGAACTGGTCTGTCTGAAAGGATGCCTTGGATATCTCTCCTGCTCCTCCTAGCCAGAGGGCACCAAAGCTACAAGACTCTAAGGAAAAAGCCCAGGTTATTATGATATCGGGAGAAGTAAAAATTTTTGGCACCTCTTAGCTATTTATTAAGTAAAACTGATCACTCATCACAGAAAACTCTCATATTCTCCCAAGGGTAAATACCATATAACAATCCACAGTCATTAAATCACACAGAGTCAGCCAGACAGACAACTTAGAGCCAGTTCTTTCTTCCTGACCTCAGTCAAAAGAAAAAGAAAATTCTCTCTACACCCTTCCTTCCAAATGATTCTCAACGATGCACATGAATTCTGGTATTAGTGAGCTGTTTGCGAAACTAGAATAAATTTAATACAAGGAAAACTGATGGCTAAGTGTCTGCTCTCTCAAAATAAAATGAGGACAGACTTTTATTGCATGCTTATTATAGAGACCCCCGGCCTCTCAGACTCCACGGATTAAATCTTGTTTCCAACATTAACTAGCTAAGTAGACTGGAGCAAATGCCTTATTTGTACAATTTTCATGACTTTTAAAAGGAAGTGATTATACTATTAATATATGACATAGAGATGTTAAAATAAGTCTAAATGAAAATTAATCTTCAAATTGGCACCTGGTGCCAGTAAATAAACAATGCATGTTATGTATTATGATAATTATCAGATTATATAATAAAGCATAATTTAACACACATTTATTGATTATCTTCCACATACCAGGTACCATTCTAGCTTATACCAATACATTAGTGAATCAAACAATCAAAATTCTCTGCACTCATGGAGCTAATATTCCAATGGGGGTTGATTTCTGTATCCAAACTTAAAATAACATCATGGAAAATTTGTTATCATCTTCATTTTATAGATGAGGAAATGCAGATGCAGGGTGACTCAATAAAGTGCCTAAGGCTACAAAGATTTAAAACTAGTAGAGCCAAGATCCAAATCCAAGTTTATTTCACTTCAAAGCCATGTGTTTAATCAATCTATATCTGTTGCCCTAATTTCCTGACTCCAACCCTGAGGAATAATTGCATAAGCTGAGTACCATTAGTTTAAACAAGTCATGATGATATAGGAAGAAGCTAATTTTCAAGTGGGAGAAACAGAAAGCTTATGCTTAATTGCATCTTAGGGAAGAAATCAAACAAATATGTAAAGTTACAGAAAGTCAATGTCTAGCTAAGGGAGCTCTCTCCATAGAGAAAACATATCCGTGTGCTAGATATTTCTCTCTGGCCTTGTTTGCACAGATGCTGTATGGTAACTAGTAGGAGAATTGCATAGAATGATTTCTGTAGGGAAGCTTCTAGCAATTCCACTCAATGCCTTCTAGGATCAAGTCTAGTCTTGGGTTATTTTCCCTTTCTGCACAAAGACCATGCCCACAGGAATCAATTCTTTGTATAGATATTCATTAATTAAGGCCAAAAATGTGTTTTCCTCCCATTGGAACCCACTACTACATGGATTTCTCTATCTCCAATGAATTTTATGGTAGTTTAAAATTTATTTCGCAATTAGGGAAATGCCTCTTCTCTTCTTAGTCCCCAAATGAATGTTCATCTATGCTAGTTGGAGTCAAAAAGAAATTCTAAGCTTTCCATCAACCACATCTCTAACACTTCTATTTCTTGGACTAAAAGCTTTTCATTTCAGAAAAATGAGTTTTTGAGAATTGCCCAAACTCACCTCAGTGTTTGCAAAGACCAGACTAGTATTCATGACTGAGAATCCTGAGCATAAAGAATTCTACAGCGAGCTGGTTGTGACATTACATGGCATTTCTGTGCCCTTTGAGGATTCTCTAGCCTAGAATGTCTATACCTGATTGGGTCTCCACATTTGGATGTCTCTAAGGGCTCTGGTTAGAAGAAAAATATCTCTTGATATTTTAAAGACTTTTTTTTTTAAAGGCGCATGTAGTTTCATTCTATGATTTTCACACTGTTTTACCCCAGACAATTCCTTTCCTGCTTCAAATGGAGTCTTAAAAGGAACTCTAACACATAAAAGAGATAAATCAGTGGCAGTTCTCATTAAGAGGGTGGGGTTAGGGGAAAGCACAATAACTCAACTTCCTTGTTCCTTAGAAGCCAATTTCTCTCCAGAATTCAATTAGTCAATTGTTGGTCTAGTCGTCCAAACATGTGGACTTTCTTTTTTCTTTTTATCTCAAATCCTTTTTCCCCCAAAGTATTACAGGGTACAGATATTTGTGGTTACATGAATTACTTTTATAATGCTTGAGTCATGGCTAGAGGTGTGCCCATAACCCAGATAGTATTTATTGTACTGCTTAGATAGGATTTTGCCTGTCCCCTCCTCCCCCCTTCTTCCTGGTTGATGTCTGTTGAGTTTTACTTCCCTCTGTGCACATGTGTGCTCATTGGTTAGTTCCAATTAAATAATGAGTACCTGTGGTGACTTACTTTTTCATTACTTACATACTTCACTTAGAATAATGGTCTCTAGTTCATCCATATTGTTGCAAAAAGCATTACATCATCCATCTTCATGCCCGAGTAATATTCCAAGGTATACATATAGTACATTTTCTTAATCCACTCATGAATTGATGGGCATTTAGATTTATTTCTACATCTTTGCAATTGTGAATTGTGCTGTGATAAACATTCAAGTGCAAGAGTCTTTTTGATAAAGTGATTTCTTTTGTCTTGGGTAAATACCTAGTAGTGGGATTGCTGGAGCAAATGGTAGGTCTACTTTTGTTCTTTGAGGTATCTCCATACTGTTTTCCATGGAGGTTATACAATTTGTAGTCCTACCAACAGTGGATAAGCATTCCTTTCTTTCTGCATCCACACCAGTATCTTTCGTTTTTGGATTTTAGTACAGGCCATTCTGACTGGGGTAAGGTGATAGCTTATTGTGGTTTTAATTTGAATTTTCCTGATGATTAGTGATGTTGAGCATTTTTTCATATGTTTTTTGGCCATTTGTCTATCTTCTTTTGAAAATTTCTGTTCATGTCTTTTGCCACTTTTTAATGAGGTTGTTTGATTTTTTTCTTGCTAATTTGCTTGTGCTCTTTGTAGATTCTTTTTTTTCTATATACTTTCAGTTGGCCAATTAATTTCTTTCTATTTTATAGTAGAGACGGGGTCTAGCTCTTGCTCGGGCTGGTTTCGAACTCCTGACCTCGGGATCGATCCTCCTGCCTCGGCCTCCCAGAGTGCTAGGATTACAGGCGTGGGCCAGCGCGCCCGGCCTTCTTTGTAGATTCTTATTAGTCCTTTATTGGATGTATAGCTTGGAGATATTTTTCCCATTTTGTGGATTGGCTATTCTATTAATTATTTCCTTGTCTGTGCAGGAGGTTTTTTATTTTGTAATTTAATCAAGTCCTATTCATTTATTTTTGTTGTTTCTGTGATTGCTTTGAGGGTCTTCTTCATAAAGTCTTTTGCCTAAGTTGATATCTAGAAGAATTTTTCCAACACTTTCTTCTAGAATTCCTATGGTTTCATGCTATACTTTTAAGTCCTTTCTCTATCTGGAATTAATTTTTGTAAGAAGTGAGGGATATAAATCCTGTTCAATTCTTCTACATGTGTCTATCTAATTTCCCTAGCACCATTTATTGAATAGGGATTCTTTTTCCTGGTGTATATTGTTGCCTGCTTTGTTGAAAATCAGTTGGCTGTGTGTGGATGGTTTTATATGTGAGTTCTCTGTTCTGTTCCGTTGGTCTATGTCTCTGCTTTTGTGCCAATACAATGCTGTTTTCATTAATATTGCCTTGTAGCGTAGTTTGAAGTCTGGTAACGTGATGCCTCCTGATTTGTTCCTTTTGCTTAAGATTTCTTTGGCTATTCAGGATCTTTCCTGGTTCTACACAAAGCATAGGATTAGTTTCTCTAGATATGTGAAATATGACATTGGTATTTTGATGGAGATTGTGTTAAATCTCTAACTCACTTTGGGTAGTATTGGCATTTTAACAATGTTGATTCTACTGATCCATGCCATGATATGTTTTTCCACATGTTTGTATCATCTGAAGTTTCCTTCTTTAGTGTTTTGTAGTTTTCTTTGTAGAGATATTTTACCTACTTGGTTCAATATATTTATAGGTATTTTATTTTCTTTGTGGCAATTGTGAATGGTTTTGAGTTTTTGATTTGACACTCAGCTTGACTGTTACTGATGTATAGGAATGCTACTGATTTGTGTACTTTGATTTTGTA